AATCATGGTTGAGGCTTTAAGTCACTGTGCGCCTAACGAAGCTGGCGCCGCAGTCGACGCAGCAGGCTCGGTCGCAGATGCCAGTGGGTGGTGAGAAACACAGTTTAAGTCAAACAGAAGGGCCCAGAAAGCGCAAGAGTATCCTCGTATGCTTGTGGCTCCAACTAAGTGTACGACTGACTGTGCGCTTACGTACATATACATATATCTGTGCACGTGTGTATGTGTGTGTATGTATGGTGAATTTAGGAGGACACTGGCAGAGGCGATTTGTTGCGTGCGAGAGAAGTTAACGTCATCGTCAACTGCGCTGCCACTGTTTGAAGCGGCTGCTCTGTCGCCTACTCTTGGCTGCTGTTGCTGTTTCTTCTTCTGCTTTATTTCGAGCTTTTTCCTTTTGGGCCGCGTGCACTTTCCATGCTCGTGTTGCGTTTTGTCAATTGACCCGAAACTGTTTGAACACACATAAGTACATACATAAATAGGTAAGTATGTATATATGTATGTACATATATACAGGGAACGTTTTATGTTCTATGCCGAGTTTTTCATCTAATAACTTCTAATTTTGAAGAATGTGAATTAAATAATTACTCTTATTGTTGCTATTCGCCAAGAAAAAAGGCCAGCTCTGGATGGTGGGGCCAGTCAATATCGCAACTTGTAAATTGTTCACAACATTTTCATCGCTTCTTCCGATGAACATACATACATACATATGTATTCCTTCCAGAGATCACCAGTTTATGTATGAATGTTACAGTTTAGCATGATCAATAAAATGTGACCGGAATGTGTTTTTTTTTTCTCACATTTTTTCCAAAAATGGGGGTCGTCTGCATAACAGAAATCAGTAGCCAAACAAAATCGATCTGGAACATAAAACGCACCCTGTATGTACATTTGTAACGGCAGAGGCTTGCATCAGATTGGCTTTTTGATTTGAAAATGTACTTTATTGCTATTAGATTTGAATAAATCGCACGCAAACATGTGCTCACACACACATAAATACACACTTGCTTATATACGAACATATGTACATACATACATAATTACATACATATGTATGTATGCATGCGCTTTTTTTTTTTGCTTATTTTTACTGCGATATTTCACAGTACTATTTTGTAGTTGTTGCCGCTATTATTAGCGCAATGTATGTGCGTTCAACAAAAACAAAATATCTAAAAAAAAAAGCAACAGCTACAACAAATACAATAACAGCGTGGTGGTATTTTCTTTTTTGTTCTGCCACTGGTCTAGGCGCCGTTATTGTTGTTGCTGCCGTTGCTGATGTTGTTGTTGTTGGGCTTTACTTTTAATTTCTTTTGTTTTTCAATTATTTTGCTCGATTGTCAGAGGCGCTCTTTACCTTGCACTATTCTCTCGCTCTCCCGCCCTCTTGCTAATGCTCTCTTTGGCTATGTCTGTCTCACTGGCTCACCCACTCCCAAGCACACGCATTGTCCGCAAAAGGCGCGCAGCTCGCGACACACATACACACACGCAAATGCGTATGTATGTGTGCATGAATGTGTGTAAATGTGGGTGAAGGAATGTATGCAAATTGTTAATTGTAATGCACACTAATTTCTTTTTCACCTTTAATGGGCGGTAACAACAACAACAATAACAACATCAGTTGCACACTTACAGGTGCATTCAAGTGTTAGTCCCAATTTTATATGCAGTACTGTAAATTATCACAGATTAACACGCATGCGAAAAGATCCGATTGTTATTTGAATATATCGCTTTTTAAACTCATCAGGATGATTCGGATTAGCTATATTAGGTTTGGGTGTTCCTAATACAAAACCCAAAATTCAAATTTAGAGAAGGATACACCTTATGTAGGTTATAACACTACATAGATATGTACATATCTATTTGTATTAGTCCTACATTTAAGGACTGCAATCTGATTAGATAAATTATTTTCTTACCTAGGCTATATGTCACCATTTATTCCTATTCATATCCGTAGATAAAATACTAATTTTTCAAACTGTACAATAATAATGGACGTGCTTCAAATAATTCAGTTCCAGAAACACTTGTTCTAAAATAAAACTTGTTCTTTCGGACACAGAAACTGTCCACAGAATATTGTTTTGTTAGTTCAGCTGATCAATAGACAGAAGCTTGGTAGTGGTCCTACCTATTCAGATAGCTCGTATTTGTGAATCACTAAAAATATTTATATAAAATAACAAAAAAAATATAGATGGGTAAAGATACTTTATTTTGGAAATATTGGAACCTGTAGGATTTACGCGATTCTTGCGAGAGTATATGTATGTAGGAGATTTTTAGGCACCTGTGTTATAGCAATCGTATATTTTTGAAGTAATGCTCAGTTTCCGTGTTAGATAAGATATTTGTTTACACAATTATTACAAATACATACACACATGTATTTACTTTAGTTGCAAACAAATTTGCGAAGACGTGAAATGCGAACATTTTACATCTCTATTTATTGTCCGATGGGATTTAAAATGAAGTTTCCTAACCCCCGAGGTAAAAGCTGCTGGAAATTTAGTGAGTTAGATGAAGGACCCAATAGCAGTATAAATACATACACGTGTATTGTATTTAGGTATATACGAATGTAAGTGCTTAATATATATATATGTTTGTATATATGTATGTATGAATGTATAAACTAATTTTTCTGACAGCTACATGACATTACACGCGATTATGAATGAAATATTAGGTACATAGTATTCGTTTTGACAACTTGCTAATGTTTTATACACATACACACACACAAGCATACATATGTACATGTGCATGTGTATCAATGATTTGCGGTCGCTCAATTGCGGTATCAATGAGGAAGAGCAGACAGCTGAGAGCCGCTGTTTGAAATTTGATAATTGCAATATAAAGTTGTACGCTCTCAGAAACAAAGCAAAAGAAGAGCAACTATACTTGTAAAAGCACTGGTTTATTTGGCTTTAGCTTGTGTTGCTTTTGTTGTTGCAGCTTTTGCGCATGCAGCTTAACAGGAACCTTGTAAGTTGGCTGAATAGAAAAAACCTTGATGAGATGTCCATGAAAAACGCTGCCAACGTGGGGAGCTGAGTTTCAAGTCGTGTTGCTGTTCAAGGCCAAACACTAGAGGGGCCAGCAAACGCAGCAGATTAATTAAAATAAATGCATACGCACATCTGATGTACGCATGTATAAATATTTGTATGACTGTATTTGTGTGGTTGAGTGGGTTTTTATGGGTGTACTTTCCCTGCCAGGCATTAGAGCTAGGTCGATCCGGTTCATACCAGTTCCAATAATCGGGTTTTTAAAAGGAACTACCGAGGAAGGTCTATTGGCTTCGTCCCTTTATTAAGTAATTCCATAACATAACGAAATGGATTGGCAGGCGTACTTCGTGATCAATATCATGTGGAAACGTACTTACGAAGAAAGGGTTAATGGAGAATATTCCCCATTCTGGCCAAATAGTTTCTTTGTTGAAGAACTTTCTTGCAGCCGGAAAAAATTAGTTTTTCGACTTTTTCAAATACCTATGTATAAACATTAAAATATGTGTATATTTATAGTATTAAAGAAACTATTGTAATGCAATCTCTAAAACATATCAAAATGGTCTGAAAAATAGCCTCTCTATGTTGAAAAACGGAATAAAAATAAATCAAATAATTTTGACTATATCCGCAAGATTTTGCAAAATTGAATTATGATATTCGAAGTAACGTTTTTAAAAAAGCTTGGCACACGGTTCAACGTAAGCAGCGACTGCGCAGCAGCGGCAGAGACGCTGGCGTTAGCAGCGATTGTCGCATGTTTTGGCAACGTCAAAGCGAGCGAAAGGAGAAAAATATATGCCCAACTCCTCGGCTCAGCTCCAGTATGAAAATTCGTTGCCTGGAGTCCTGTCGCTCACTCACACACACACATACATATATACACAGACAGCGCAACTTACTTCTCTCACTGAGAAAATCTCTTGCTTGTTTGCACACACACGCATACTAACTTTTCTTCTTGTTGAATTTCGCTTTTTTTTTGCCTTTTCTATGTTTTTGCCGTTACATTGCAGCATTTACTGTTACATGTTACATTCTAGTTGTGAGGCCATGCTGTGTCTGACATTTGTTGTTCTTTAAATGCACAAATATACACATTTCTTGTTGGTATATCAAACATGCATACACACACACAAACTCTGGGGGAAAACGGCAACTTCAAATAGAATTTATTGTTGCTTAACGCCTTAAGATGACTAATAATAAAAATACGAAGATTGCATACATATGTATGTATATCAGTTGAACATATGTATGTATGTATATACATATGTACATTATATATACATATGCATGTATGTACGTTGGCGTTATGTTAATGCGAAACGAGCACAATGTTTTATTTCACTCGTTGCCGTTGTTGGTGCACTGTTTCTTTTGGCATACGCGCGTATGTTTTATTTTCGTGTTGCTTTTTGCAGTTGGAAAATCGACGCAAGCTCAAAGGCACACGGCGGCTCGTACGCTTCGTATTTGAATTATATGGATACATATGTACGTATTTTTGCTCTTTTTTATTGGTAATAATTCATTGAACAACATATGCATTCATATGTATATATTTATGTTAATCGTGAACATGTCTTGAAACGGCCGATGAAAATTGCGACAAATAAAAAAAAAATCACCTTAGACACACACACTGGCACGCAAAAACTGTGTCTCAGGTTTGGTCATATTGGAATACATCTGTATGTATGCATATGTATGTGTGTTTTCCAATTGGTATTTGTTGCTAGTCCGTTGCTCAGCTTTGAAGCTGCTGAGAATTTTCTGCTGGCTGAGCCGACGCAGCAGCGTGGGCCACTGTTTTGCATGTGTTAGTGTGTAGTGGTGTCTGAGTATGTATGTATGGGTATGGTACCAACGCGTTTGTGCGTGTTGCACAATTTCAAAAAAAAAAAAAAAAATAAAAAAAACAATCAACTTGCAATTTACCTTTTATTCAATATTTGCTACACTTTTTCTCGCTTTACAACGCACAAATGCTGCTGTACGCACAGACGCACGCGGCACAATTTAAAGACCACAGCACAATGCAGCAATGCTTAAATGTTGTAATTAAATATTAAATTAACACGACCCGAGAGTAGTTGGTGGAAAAAAAATCTCTCTGTGTGCGCGTGCCTCGATTTTGCTATTTCGACTAGAGATGCGATGTAAACTGGCATCGATACGTTGCAGCAGCATCGATTATAGATTCAGCTTATCGATGCTTTTCGATATTTTGCGAACGTAATGTATCGTTATTTTTGTATAAACATCGAAAAATCAGTCTCTCATTTTATAATGGACCGTTATTTTGGTAACAATTTGAAATTCTTAAATATAAAGTTAAATAACAAAAAATTTGGCAAACTCTACTGGTTGCTGTTTTACAAAGTGATGCTAAAACCCATTTGGACATACGGGATTCAATTGTGGGGTTCGACCAGCCGCAGTAACATTAAAGTGCTGCAAGGGCTCCAAAATAAAGTTCTACGCACAATAACCGGCGCATCAATAACACTTGCATAGAGACCTGGCCATGGAAACAGTTTGCGAGAGTTTGCACCTCCAGCGGCTCTCAGCACTCGCTTTCGCATTCCAAATCAACTCAAGTTTCTAAATAACATTTAATTTTAATCTTGTCTTTTGTAAGATGCTTAGGTACATAAACTGATTAAATAATTGTCATTTTAGGACTTATCTATACTAATATTATAAAAGGGTTGTTGTTTGTTTGTTTATTTGGATTGAATAGGCTACGAAACAACTGGACCGATTTAAATGATTCTTTCCCTGTTACAGCAACACTATCCCTGGATAACATGGGCTATACTATATTTGCAAAAAAGATAGGAATCCTTACTAAAACGCCAATAAAGTAACCCAAGGAAACATTATGTCACTTTAAATATTAAGGCAATATTATTCAAAAGCCCCCAGCCAAATAAAAAATTACAAATCGATCGACACCGTGATTAATGCTGAAGACATTTAAATTCACAAATCCTTTTTGGACTGCCGCCACAAGAATTGACGGAAAATTTCGAATTGCAATCATGCTTTTGAGGAATTATAGCCTTCTAAGCTTGTGCAATGGGACGAGGCTGCTTATTAAGGAATTGCAGGACAATTTAAGTGTAGCAACTATTATCAACGGCCCAGCAACTGGTCAACTAGCTCATATAACGAGGATACCGATGATCCCATTTGATCATTTATATGGCTTCAATTTCCGGTGGTCCCAAGGCCAAGTCTTCGAATTAGTAGGGATCGAAATACGAAAGCAATGTTTTACTGTATGTTGACCTATCACGGGTCGTAGCTTCTGAAAATCTATTTATTTTGCTACCACAAAATAAAACATCAAATATCTTTTACAGAGCCTCTGACCAAATAAATAATAACAAAAAATCTAAAAACGAACAAAAAATCAATCAAATAATAATATCCAAAATAAATTTCACTCCGTCTTAGTAACTCATAGCAAAAAGAAGGGTGTATGTGAGTTAAAAAAGGAATAATTTTTAAAATTTTTGTAAAAATACCCATGTGAAGCAAAGGCAGGACGCTAGTCTTAAATAAAGCAACAAATAACAAAAAGTTATTAATACTGATGTTGAGATTCTTTAAAGCCCATCTCAAGCAGTAAATTTTAAATTAAAATAATTTAAAGAATATAATGATAATAAAAACAAAACATTATAACATAAAAAGAACAATAATAGACTTCGTTCTGAGGTTAGACGCATTTATATAATAAATTAAAAGCACATTGAAAAATAAATAAAATAGTACATCAGTTAAATAAATTGAAAAAAGAAAATAGTTTCAAATAAAAATAATAGATCCGAACGCCACAACGGGTGGAGAATTAATGAACAACGAAGCAATAATTCAGAGCAATATAGGAAGCTGGTAGTGTTGGAGAAATGTATGGGTAGAAGTGTTGATCAAGATGTGAGACCAGATAACGACTTTTCAAACACTTAAGAAAGCTGTTAGCACTGCAATATTTGAAATTGGAGATTATTCATGGAATTATCTTCTGTGGATATTTATTGAACTTCTTCTGCTTTATTGCAATAAGTCCGGGCTTATGACATTCATTACAAGTATATTTTATTTCGTGCAGCATTTGCGTTAACGAATTAGTAGCAGGTCTGTGAATGAGTGTGGAGGAGCGGTGTAAGAAAGGTAGGCGAGTTCCTAAAGCGTTGTAATTTTACATACATACGTATGTACATATGTATGTATATTGTGGCTGTGAGGGTCCTTCATTCATATATGTATGTATGTATACTGCATGTCTATATGTACATATGTACATAAAGATAGCGAAAATAAACGCATGGCTGGACAATTAAATTCGCATTAGGCAGGCTGCCCATAAATGCGATTTTGATCAGACCTGCAAACTGTTAACCAGAAACAGGTTGCTGCGGAAATTGTTTGCGTGCAGTGCAGGAATGTGCCAGCACTGGCCATGTTGCGTCCACGGTGTCGACGTCCACGGAATCTGCTGGAACGCAGCTGGCGAATTCTGCTACTGGAGCTAAGATCCCAGAATTGGATAAAAAAGCTAGGGCAGCGAAATGAGCGCTGGAGAGGTATGTTTGGGCAGAAAGGGTGGCTTCAATGCTTGTCTGAAATGCTTTGCTCATTGCAGCTGCCCAGCGTTATGGGACACGCCAGGATTTTTCGCACAATGGCAGCTTTCATGAGGCGGTGGGGGCCGTGCTTGTGATGGCCCAGTGCTTTTGCGTAATGCCTGTGCGCGGCATACTCGCATCTACGCCAGACGGATTGTCTTTCAGTTGGCACAGCTGGCGCACCTGGTATTGTGTCGGCTATATGTGCACCACAGTGCTGGACACGATCTTCACTATCAATCAGGTGGTGCATGGCAAACTGGATGTACGGAACATGGGTAAGGTCCTCTCCTTCCCTTCTCCCCCTTTCTTCCCACTCTACTTGCATGTCTGTCTTCTTCAGAGCCTATCATCTTTCACGTCTCCATACTGCTAGCCTCCGTGCAATTTCTACATTTGGCCCGTAAGTGGCCCAAGCTTATGCATCAATGGGCCTGTGTGGAACAAGGGCTGCCCAAGTTCGAAAACTGGCAGCAGCGTGAGCATCTCGCAAGAAAAATCCACCGAGTCACCTTTGTGCTGATGATGCTCTCGCTGAGTTGAGTAGCTGACCACATTTTCGGCTTAGTAGTTTCTCATCAGTTATTCTCCCTTTCTCTCTATTTGTCTCTCTGCGTGTCTGCCACAGCGGAGCACTTGCTGAGCATTGTTTCTGCGATACACTTTGCCAACTATTGTCCGGCACGCAAGGATCCCATCGAATCGTACTTTTATAGCTCCGGGTCGCAAATCTTTTTCATCTTTCCCTACTCCGCCTGGCTGGCCTGGCTAGGCAAGGCACAGAATGTGCTGCTCACTTTTGGCTGGAGCTTTATGGACATATTTGTGATGATCATAGGCATCGGTCTGAGCGAACTCTTGGCCCGCCACACTATATGCCTCAAGAGTCATGCCGAACGGGTAAGTGTTCCCCCCCTGCTGATTCCAGCGCCATCCTGTCTTTCTCATCCACAAACACACTCGTACGTCAACAGGACATGTCAGAGGCATTTTGGACGAGTACACGCACTCAGTATCGCCTCATTGTGGAGCTCATCATCGAGGTAGACGAGGCCGTCTCGGGCCTTATCATGTTGTCCTTTGCCAATAACTTGTACTTTATCTGCCTACAGCTACTTAAGAGCATCAAGTATGTACACTAATAGAGTCCATTCTTTTATATTGTTAAAACTTAGTGATATGTATAGTCAGTCAAATTTTGTATTATGGAATAGTCTTACAAGTATATTATTGTACGATGAGTTTTTCCACCTCGTTTCGCCTGCTTCAGAGATTTAAGAGGCTTAAGAAGCGCGTAACGATCTATTTATATTACTGGATCGCATTTAGCCGTAGATTATGGAGCTTCTTGGCTTCGACTTAAAGCAGAGGTCATTCCAATCCGCCACGCTATTTCATCAAAGTGGAATTCTAAAGCTCTCTCTATACAAGGGAAAATAAGGGGAAGCAGAGATGTGGTGTTATAGTTTCTTTTATTAGTGCTGCATTAATCCAAAGAAGGTGGAAATTAACCAGGTAATGCCTGTAACGCCTAGGACAGAACGATTTACATAATATTATAACATGAAAAAAGCTTTTAGCTTTCCTTGAACAGGCAAATTAGATTTCAGGGGCATATATACTTGTATTATGCTGATGACAAATGTAATGATTTGGATTCAGATATGAAAGCTATTACTTGTTATTACTTATGATATGGGACATTCGATTTTTATTTGATTTAATCGTTAAAGATTTAAATGATTCTTGGGAAGAATTTCATTTCAGTTCAAGTTATATGTACGGAGCACAGAACTAAACTGATGAGCCAGAGGGTAGGGGTAGCTTAAGTTCTATAGTTCCGGGAGGATCTTTTGATTTATGCTTGACCTGAGTTAAGGAACGTTACCAGCCTGAGGGTTACTTAAGCTAATCTTTTGCTAATGCATTGCTTCCATTTGCGTCCATCTAGTCATTACCCATGCCAGCGTGGTTTTCCTTTATAGGCATGAAGCCAAGGCTTATGGATTACAAAAGCAAACTCGTTAAAAGTGAGGTTATGTTTGGGTTTGGGTTAATTTATGTTTGGTGGTTATTCAATCACTTAATTCGCCAATTAATTCGTCTCTCTTAGCAAAATGCCATCGATGGCCCATGCAGTGTATTTCTATTTCTCGCTGTCGTTCCTGCTTATTCGATCCCTGGCCGTACTCCTCTATGTGTCGGCGGTGAACGAACGGGCCAATGAGCCCCTGGGGCTACTCCGTCTTGTGCCCGCAGCCACCTACAATGAAGAGGTGGCACGCTTTGGTAATGAATTGGCCGGCGAAGAGGTCGCATTGAGTGGACTCAGGTTTTTCAGCGTCACCAGGAAGCTGGTCTTAACGGTAAGCATGCCTCTTGGATCATAATTTGTTGATTGATGGATGTGTCCGTTTGTGTGCGACAAGTGACATTAATTGGATTTACTTCTTGTGTATCTCTGTGTCTGGCATTGACAGGTCGCGGGTACCATTGTCACCTACGAGCTGGTGCTTATACAGTTTCACGAGGACGAAAAAGAGTGGCATTGCGGCACGGATTAGCCACTGCGCCAGTGCACCATAAAATATCGTACACTGTGCTACACAACATACCACACATACAAGTACGAGTACAAGCACTTACATGCAACGCACAAATGAGCTTAACGGCAACTGCAATTGCAATTGCAACTGCATTTGCTGTCAATTGACAACTGGTTTTGGCCATTGATGATGCAATGCGTCGGGCTTTGTTATGGTTTTTGCCACGACGCAGTCGCAGCCATAAATGGCTCACTGGAACCGCTTCCTAGCCGAGCATTCCAAAATGCATTTGAACCAGTTAACCAAATGCCAATGCCAATTGGACCAGGCGCTATCGCTGCAGTCGCTTGCTTCGGCATCGAGAGCTACTTCCGGTCGTCATGGCTAACCCAATTCATCGGCAGACTCTGGCATATAAAACCTAGGAAAGCAGCGACGCGCAGACAAACGTTGCGCACATCACGTCCAGTTAACAACAAGATGCAGGCCCAAAACAATCTCATCACTCTATTAGCCTTTGTGGGATATATCCTGACCCTGGCCAGCGCCCAGTACTTCTATGCTTATCCTGGAAATCACCCACAACAGCAGCAGCAGCAGCAGCAACAGTCGCAGTCGCAGCCAGCACCACGCGCTCAGCGTTCACTGTTCGGCGGTGTGGGGGGCTGGAGCGGGCCAGCTTGGAGTCCACCAAGCTGGAGTAGCCCCGGTTCAAATCTCATAACCAGAGACGAGTTGCTCGCACTGCTTGCTGCCTGGAAGGCTGAGGCCAAGCCAGAGCCGGAGCCAGCTAAGCCAACGCCAGCACCGGAACCCGAACCTGAACCGGAGCCAGAGCCTGAAATGCCGGCCGAGGAGGAGGAACCGGAGGAGGAGCCGGAGCCAGCGGCACCAGCTGGTCCACCGCCTAGTGTGCCACTGACCGTCTCGCTGCCCGCTTTTGTGCCTATACAATTGTCCGCCATGTACACGGCGCCGGCTCCATTACCTGCCGCAGCAGTTGGTGGTGGTGACATCAGTGGTGGGGCCGTGGCTATAGGTGGTGCACACCCGGGCGCTGCTGCCCCCGCCGAGGAGGGGCACGATCCACATTCACGTTATTCGGGACCAGCTGCGCGACTGGGAAAAAATCCACGAGCTCGCCTAGCCCCCTCTAGGGCCCGCAACGGAGGCGCGTCCAGAAACGCAGCCATACGTTTCCCCATTTCGAATCCGCGCAGCTTCGCCTCTGCGAACTATGTGGCATCCAAGCCACGTTTCTATCGCACGCCGGCCGCTGACGAGTTCCCCCCTATGCGGTAAGCAACTGGTAACACCCTGTTCTGCACGTTTTCCAATTTTTTTTTTTTTCAGCACTATCGAAGCTGTGCCATCGCGTCCATTTCTGGCCAATGCGCCCGGCCCACTGCATTTGGTGCCAACCACCCAGCTACTTAACAATTGGCACTAGCTTGGTCCCCCATTTGTGTCTGGCCATATTCCATTTCCTTAAGCTATAAATATACTCGTAAATAATGTACTACCACTGGAATTGCTCTTAGAAAAGAGTCTAGCCATATGTTTTTTTTTGTTTTTTTTCTTGTCTAATGAATTATATCTATTAATTAATTATACCATTAAAATATCCTATTCATATCATATTCAAATACTTATTTATATAAATTAGAACCGATTTTCAAAATAAAGCCAGGCCCATATGCCTAAATGCAAATTGGAAGAATTCTTCCTTTTTAAATTATTGACATAAGAGAAGAAATCTACTCGTACCTTTCTACATTTCGATCGCTGCTTATAAAGGCAAGAAATTATATTGAAGTTAACAATATTTTCATGCTTTTCGCAACTAACTGTCGCTGTTCGAGGAAAGAAATCGTAGAGCAAGCAAAGTCTTTAAAATAGTTGTACAATTTTTATCAAATAACTATACTATATAGTTTAGTGGCTTTAATACTATGTATATAACCTCCTCTATGGCGTAATGCACGGATTGTATACTGGTAACGTGTAACTGGTGTTCTGGGCCCCACATTGGGCGCCAATTTTATGAAATGCACGGATGCGTTTTGCAACGAACCTACTCTTTGCAATACGAGAGAGAATCCTAACGGGATCTTTCCAACAACTGATTATTTCTATTTTATCCGCGAAAAGAGAGAGGGAGAGCATTTGGGAACTAAACGGTTGTTGTCTTGGCTAGGGTTGCTTAATTGCTTAAGCATAACCCAACCCACTACAAGAGTTCCATCTGGTGAAAAAAAAGAAATTAAAATATATAAAAATAAATAGAAAGTATATTAAAATTAAAATACAAATTTTTCGTTATTTAATTTTGAAATAAGGAACATTTAGTGTCCGGCGAAGAAGTGGAGAATCACTGAATAGGCGGGGGAAGGTTCAGTAGCCATTGCGGCTTGTTGAATAATTTCTTCACTTTCGCATTACTTTCGCATAACCGCTATTAAATCATAAGTATTATTATGTGGATCTTGGCATAACAGCCTTAAACAAGATTTATAGCCACGTCGTGTGCCACTTTTTCGTTTATGGCCAGTAAGGCAAGGCAGGTTGCCCGCTCAACTAAACAGAAACTACTTATAACATAAATAAGACGAGCTGTCAAATGAAAAGTTAATTCCCTGCAGTGACATGTGGTTCACCATAGCGCCTAGTTAGCATGCAGGTATCCAGAGGCAGCGTTGGTTGCATCTACGGGTGTCGACTGCTCCCAATTTCCTTTGCCGTAAGGCGCTCGTTAAGGTAGAAACATTTAACACTTGCCGTTTACGTTGAGGGACCATTAAAATCAAATTAGATTTTTTACACATATCGCCATAGCGAAAAGAGATTTCCTGGCCAACGCCCCAGCATTGCAAAACTGTCTGCCGCTGAAGACGCCTCATTCATGCCTCAACCATAAACGAAGCGAGCCACGTATGAAATGAATTTGTACGCATTGACGCGTCATGTCCAGCTGGTTTAGTCGGCAACCTATCGGGCTAAGCACTGGGCCACAGGTTTGGGTTACGAATTCAAAAAATATCAAATCGCAATCCTTAATTTTCTAAACAGAAATTTTACTTGTATTTAGGGACAATAACATCTCTTTTAAGCAATTGAGAACAGGTTATATTTAAGTGATTGGTTTAGTGTTATACGGTCATCTGCAATTTAAAATAGACAATTAATTAATATCCAACTTTAGCGTAAGTATATAGAGCACTGACATATCCCAATAAAATCAGTAATTGTGAGAACAGGAAGTGAATATTAGAAGCTATCGTACAACTCCTTCACTCGGGTTGAAATATTGGTACAAAAGTTTTGAAAGAAATCCAGCTTGGAACACATTCTTCAAACAAGATAATATAAACATTCCTACAAAAGTTCCTCCCATAATAAGAAGAAGCACTGGTTTGAAAGTGTCTGCCTTAAAAAAACCCTGTGTCTTTAAACCCAAGCCGGGACGAAGGCACAACATAACATTCTTCGGACAGGATAGTAGAAAATTGCTATAAATTCTTAACTCAGGAAGAACCGGCTATGGTTCTCAAGCAACGTAGTATTTTTTGTAGTACATATTTACATATTAATTAGGTGTTTAAAAAAAAACTGAAATATATCTTAGTCTTTATTAATAAATAATTACTTCAATCTTTTGATAATTGGTTGGAGTTCAAATTAAACTAAGTATATCGGACAGTTTCACTAAGTAGCTCTTTAATAGATCAATGCTATATATATATATATATATATCAATACTACTTATAAATACAAGTTATTTTTGATTGTCGAGTTGTTTCCAGTGAATCACATAACTACTTGTATAATAGTCATTAAAATTTAAACTTGATTTCAAAATTATTGATAGCAGTACTTCTTTGGCTTATTATTATTAGAATATTATTATTATGAGAATATCGCTGAATGAGCAATCGTATAAGAAAGAACAAATTAGGTTCAGACTTACCTTGGCTGGGTCTGGCAGTTCCAATATTCTGTAGTATAGTGTAAGTTGAAGCTAATTGTATACAGTCTCTGCTGAACAGTTTTTCACACATCTCGCACAATTTGACACGAGTTGTGTATTAATTACGGACCTACAAGTTTTTGCACTTGTCGATGTTGATTGCAATGTGGATTTGGATGCTGTTGCATTTGCTAAAACGCATGTAATGGGCGTATAAGTAAATCATCAGTGATGTCTTGTCTTGGCCGGACGACGCCCATTTCTGCTCCAATTTATGGACTTCCCGCACTACTTTTGTACATACTAAGTAATAATAAGCAGTAATAATAAATAGGTAAGGAAAAAATGAAACGTAAACAAATCTCCGACTCAAATGACGAAATTGGTGCGTTTGCTTTTTATATGTAGTTTAAGTTGCTTTTATTTCAACTTTATGTAATACTAAAATCTCTAGCAATAAGCTAAATTGAATAATCATTTTTTTTAAGTGTATGTATGTATGTGCGCATGTATATGCTTTTATGTATGTACTATATATAGGTAGGCTACATTTCTGTATTGTCCACACAAAAAACAAATGAAAATCGACAAACAAATACATATGAAAAAATTACATGTTGGGACTAGTGTAAACAAATATTAAAATTAAGTAACAAATAAAAATCTCGACATGGCCATGCGAATTCCAGTAACTCTGAGCGACCATTTGGGCCTTTTTTTTTTGTGTGCAGGCAGGCCCTTTGTGCAGTTAGCTGCTGTCGTGAACGGGTTAAGGACATGCACAACCACACACTCTTACAACTACGTTCACGAACGCTTTTATAGTAAATTGCATTCTCATTGACATTTACATTGACAAGGTCGTTTCTGTTTTCGTCGTTATCATTATCGTTATCCTTAAAGTTTTTGGCATTTAATTTTCGTTTGAATTGGACGCTTCAACAGAAACGCGCCGTAGCCTCGCGCCATATAATGCATAGTCCCTGATGGGCAGCTAGCAGCACAAATGCGGTGGCAATCACAAAATTTAGCCGATAAATAGCGGCTTGACAGTAGAGCAAACAGATGCCGGAGCACAGATACAACGCCACCGACATCGTCCAATAGCCAGAGCTGCATTCAACAAAAGATATTCAAGTTAAACCTATCTATGTTTAGATTTAATTTTTATCTTTTACGTACCATTTCTGAGGCGCCTTCATCTGCAGGAGCAAGCTAAGCGCGCCCAACACTGCAACACTGGGATACAAGCACGGATCGGGCAAATCAATGCCGTATCTGTAAGTGGAAAGAAGATATTTGCATTAAATAGCACAATTCGCAAAAATGTCCGAATCTACTTCCATTAATCCCCTTTCGAAATATTTTACTGAAAACTTTTTGTTACTTTGTCATTTAGGAAACAACTTGTTCATATATGATGTAGTTCTGATTGAACTTTGTAATTTGAATGCCACAATATCATCTTTTATGTTAAGACAAGACAAGGCTGTATCCACAAATATAGAAGAGGGATTGCGTATACGTTAAAAATACCAGGCTTGTGATGATTATTACAGACGTTCTTAGGAAATTTAATCAGATTATATGTTGATCTCATACATTGTGAGTCTTAACAGATGAATACTTTGAATGGTCAATGTTCAATGATGAACATTAGTTTTTTACATTAATAGTAAAATTTGATTGAAATAATTCAATCAATTGCTATTGCCAGTCCTGTTCGACATTTGACACTAAGTTAGACAAGAAGAACACATTGCTGTCGATAGATAGAAGCACACCGCTCGATTTGTTGTAACACCATTGAAAACGTGCTCCAATTCAGAGCAAAACAAATATTTAACATTCTCCTAATAGATTTTCTTGACAAATGATATAGTTTGTAACGTTAATGTTGGGCTTATCTATAATTGTAGATTATTATTGAAGCAAATAGAGGGGAAATTGTGCAGCAGGCTTCATAGATTTTCTTGAAAAACGATATAGTATGCAACTTTAATGTTGGGCTTATCTATAATTGTAGATTAATTTGTGCATCATCCTTGCTGCAGCTATTGCCCAATCTGGAATGGTGCTTCTTATTTTACCTGTAGATTTATTCTTTATGACTGTTAGAGTTTAAATAATTCTATTCACTAACGATAGTTTGACCTCATAGCTAGGAACCAAAAGTCCACCCCTAAGTTTTATGTTGCATTAAGTTCCTTATGTGAGCTTTTATCCAAAGTCAGGCCAGAAGTTTGGTGTGAATCGGACAGCAGGATTTTATACTTACAGATATGGTATATGGGTGCGTACCACATATCTATTTTAAGGATTCGGAGATGCTTGCTGCAGCCTGTTCCATATATTCGCGCAAAACCCAATAATCCCTTCTACCCTACATGTGTACTATATAACGTCAGTTCTTGTATATATCGACTTACCGGCGACTCCGTGCCCAGGCCAGTGTGGCTGGCATGTTGAGTAGCAACACAATAAATAGCATAAGCAGCAATGTTATATGGAATGGAAAGTTCTGCAGACCCAAACAAGGCTCATCTGTGTCGGACGACGATTCGGCCTTTTTTTTGGCTGCTCTTGCAGCTTCTTCCTCTTCATCTGTATTTGTTTCATTGCTATCATCGTTATCATCGTTTTCTGTCTCATCATCACCATCCGCGATTTCGTTGCGATCAGAAGTAGCGAGCCCATCATTCTCTGTCTGGTTTTTGGAGATAGCTGGACCTTGTTCCTGTTGAGCTCTGCCTTCGTTGCTTGTCTCAGTCGTCTGGGCTGTCGTTTCCCCATTTTCATTTGAGCCGCCGCCAGATCCGCCCAGATTCAATAAGTTTGCTGCCTTCTGCCACAGGTAGTCCTCTAGATAATCCTTGTATGCATTGGAGAGCTATCATGGACGACACTCTGTTATGGTCGATACTCTTAATGGATATTGAAAATGCTAACGCTTACCATTAAAAAATAAAAGATGAATGCCACAATCAATGCGATGCCGCTGCACGAGCCAAGAGCCACAGCTATAGTCAGTATACCAAATGTAATGGGTAAGTGGGTCATAACGGAAATCAAAACGTTCGATGTAGCTTGCGAGAGTCGCGTCACGCGCAAGGCAATCCTATAGAATACATTGCCATATAAGGTAAGTGCGATCCAGACCCCGAAGGCGGCCATTATGGAAAGCGCAATGGCGGCACAATGTATAATAATTGATATATTGATGCTGTAGTCGGGAGCTTCTGGCAACGGCAATATGCGAGTAGTCAGCACAACCTTCTTGAGGAGTCGGCAACCGGTGACAATATAGAGCGATGAAAATTGAAAGTAACCAATGTAGGCTTTCAAACTCTTGAATGTGCCACGCATCTGAAACTTATCCACTTGATTCTTCATCACAATGAAGAGCACACAAGCTAGATGGGCAGGCAACCAGCCGTAGAATTCCAATACAAGGCGTGCCAAAGCATCAGCATATGAGTATTCATAACTGAGTGGGAAAGAGATAGACATGTTAATTAAGCATGAAAGATAGTTTGTAGGGCGACCTAAAAGCGTAAACTAGATCTGGTCCGATTTCTCCACAATTTAACAGAAATAATGGACCTGTTTAACAGGCATACATACGTCACATGATAACGACAATTGGGATCTAAATATATGTCTAGCACCAACGGATTTAATGTTGTATTGTAATGCCTTGGTATTACGAGTGGCACATTAATATAAAGGCCTGGTTTCTGGTCGGGAGCGCTGTTTAAAAACACAAACACATTACGTTAGCCACAAACAAACGACTTCGAACTTGCCGAGAAACTTACGTTAGCGTTTGATATCGCTCGAAGCCCGCAGCCCAGGGCACACAGAGTCTAGTAGTAATACGATAATCGGGATGCAGGCACTGCAGTGGTTGAATGCGAACACGTAGTCCTTGGAAAGGCTCGATAAGTTCTGTTAAAATGAATAATACCGATTTTATATGAGTACGCTTTTTTTATCTTAGAGCTCTTATCTCTTGCTCTCCCTATCTCTCTCTCTCTCTCGCGAGATTAAATATTTTTAAGACTGCTTGTCGTTTAAAAAGTCTGTAAAAAGAGCTGTCCTCAGTTTATATGTTTCCTTCAACAATTTGAATTCGTAAAGTAACCACCGAAGAGATAAGAGGATAACTAAAAGCATATAAATTGACAATACGATCAGTTGATAATAAGTTGATTCAATATTTCTTACGCATTAAGTCTTAATTTCCCTTTCGAATATCTTTTACAAAGATATTAAAAAATATATTGGCTCAGCATTTAGTAGGATTGATTTGAGTAGAGCTATGTTATGCTCCTGCATTGGCTGAAACTTGTTACAGCTCATAATTATTGGCTAAAACTAGAGGATTTAAAACTAGCAATTACTGTCCTCGAGCCGGATTAAACAGGACTTTTGATTTCACGCGAAGAAGAAAACAAATAATAAAATAATCAAAACGAGCCTGAGAATATTTCAATAGATTGTTGATATGGGACATTTTCAGCACTAATCTAAGCAGCCAGAAATGAGAATTTCTACTGGTTTCATTGGATCTCACATACCAGCTATTCGGAGTCTGTAGTGCAGCGTCCCCTGCAACGTCTCATTAATCGCGGCCTTCTGTCCGAATGTGTACCAACGCGGCATGCGTATATCAATGGTACGATCAATGGGATCATAGATATCCATATTAAAGCCGATGCGTTTGCTGCTTGGCGGAAGGCGTATCAGCACGTGTGTCCACTGCCGATAGGTCTTTCGCAGATTGTTCAAATCCAGAATAGCAACGTTACGTGCCTCGCGCCCTCCATTGGGCAAGCGCTGTATAAGATGCGTCAATGGTGTGCCTTTGGTGCTGTTGCATTAAATTGTGGAGAATGCGTGAGAGTGGCACCAAACTGGGGGCATAGCCATTGTGCTTACCAAAAGAGCTTTCCGGTCTCGTTGTGTGTCTTGGCCTCACAGCCAAAGAGCCAGTCATCATCATCCACATTAAGCACCTCAATGGCCAGTTTCTGTGGGCGGAACGAGTAGCTTTAGAGAGTGAGGGTGTTGGGGCCGATGTACGCACCTTATACCGTTCCTGACGCAATATGCTAATCAGCTCATGGTAATGCGCCTTTAAGCCATTGGCAAAATATTTGTTGATTACCAGACGTCGTTCCTCATTCCAATTTTGCAAACTCTTGAAATGCATGACACTGCTGCGTGATTGATATCGCGACTTCTGCAATGGTAGTAAGAGTGGGCGTGGATGATGAAGCTAGCAAGGATTTTTACATAGATACGCACCACAAAATGTGCCGTCGCCGATTGCAGGTTACGCTGTTTGTTACCACTAAACACCACCGAGTGGTCGTCACGCACATGCGAAATGCTGAACAGGAAGCGATTTATGACCTGCATGAACTGTAGACACCAGACAGCCGACAAATGATCACAACTGACGCTGACCTTTGGAATAGCTGACGTCTAGGAGAACCGCAAGAAGTTACAAAACAAAATATAGATAAGTGGTGAACCAATTTTGCTTACCATAGCATGAATGTCGTTGAACTGTGAGGATGTAAGACCAGAGCGCACGAGTAGATCCCGGTTGCCGCCACCCGTCGATATGAGCAGCACATTGTCCAGACGTGGTGAAAGAGTGTTCCGTGCCCTCTCCTGCTCGCTGAGCGGCTTCTGATACAGGCTATTGCAAACATTTGTTTCAGCCGTCGGACGTGTAGCCGTCCGGCTTTGGACCAGCAACGCATTTGTCTGGGTATAGAACTGGGCTATACGTGAGTCTAAATTGAGCACTGGCTGATCCAACGGAGTGGCGATGCTTATGATGGTATTTATGTGCTGAGAGAGCTCAACATCGGTCAGCACAGATTGTGCTACTTTGCCGCCCATGGAGTGCCCGATAAGCACAATAGAGGGATTGTTGTTGCGACTACGATACAGTGAGAGGACCGTACGGATGCAGTGCTTCAAAAACGCTTGCTGATGGTACAAATAGCCCCCATACAACCCGGACAGCTCCTCATCGTAGTCTATGGTGTAGTAGTCCAAATGTATGCCCGAATCACTGTGCAATGCCTTGCGCAACGCAACGGATGCAAGCGAGCGAACTTGTTTGTAGGAGCCAGCATTGCCGGGCACAAAGATGACGGGTGCGCCCGTCATGCGCATCTTAAGAGGATCCAACGGCTTGCGTACGCCCTCATAGTAATAATATAGGCCATAGTTAGGAAATTGTTTGTTGGCACCAAATCGCACGGGCTACGGTTGAATGAGTTTGTCATTAGAGTTATAATTTGTAAAGACAAAAAAATTGCAGCTGGCGCAAACGGCGCTGCCTGCGCAGCAAATGTATCCTGTAAACTATCTAGTATAACAGATATACACAAAATGCATACTCTCTGTATGCAACGCCAAAGCCGCCCACGCCACCACCTGCACCTGACTGCTGCAAACTTACCGCAAACCTGGGCTCGCCAAACATGTAAGTCATGCGACAGGCATTTTCCTCCACCTCCACGTAGATATGGCCGACGCCATAGATGAAGCAACAAATCGAACCAATTACCAATAGCACTGCAAATTTCCTAAACATAATAGATTGCTGAGGAGTTGCGCTAAAGTTCCTGTTTGATTTGCGTTTGCTGCCAGTGCAGCTTGTTGTTGTTTGTGGTGCGTCGCTTGTTGTTATCAATTAGAGCAGTGCGTGAATGCGTGCGTGATCGTCAAGAGATAAACAAAATTTCGTGAGTTACATGAACGTGCCGGCTCTTACACCTCTCTTACAATGATCTTCACAAAAAATGTATGACGCTATAAAATGTACAACACTCATACAAACACAAAGTCTAAGAAATGGTTCTGCGAATTAAGCCATCATTTAAATTCTCAAACTTGTGTCAATTAATTAGATAAATTTTAAAGAGCATATTTTATTGTAAGGCAATAAATACACATATAACGATATACACAAAAACAGAATAGTTTCTCTTGCATGTAAGAGTTAGTGTAAAATAAACTATAATTGATTTCGATGATATGCGTGTAATTGACGGCATTTTTCGTCACGCATACAACTCTATTATCAACAATAGCAAACGTCGCAAGCCATCGAGTATATGACGGAGATGGTATCGATAGTACACAGACTGTGCAGCGTTTACATGATATCGATACTTTTACATCGCACGTAAACATTAGTGCGACTTGCGCACTCGCAATCGCACACGTCCTCTCACTCATTCGCTCTCCCGCTCAGCAGCATTCCAATTGAATACCTTCACTTCGATCTATTGATCATCGGTTGATTGTCGCCTTCGGCATCTTGTTGCGTTGTGTGTGTGTGTGTGTTGGTGCTGCTGATAGTTCATCACTCAGTTAACGCACGCGCGCGCCAACTTTCAGCTTCCTCCGCTCGCACCCGCATCCTATTATTGTCAACGCTTCTCATATAACGTGTTTACGTCTTGTACCTGTGTTTGTTTGTGTATGTGTTTCGGTACACATAATACACATTTATACATGCATAAGTGTGCGCTCAATTCGCGTATCGCCGCATCTAGCTAGCTGGCTTACTAGCCTGGGCTTGGGCCTGGCTTAAAAAAAGACAGTTATGCCCTGCTGTGTTGTGGACCATACCAATAACAAAAACAAGCTAGCTGCCGCTCATTTTGTTGTTGCTCTTGCTCTGTCGCTGTTGTTGTCGCCGTCGCTGTCTCTGCGCCGAGATCTCTCGTATCTGTCGCTCGGCTATGTTGTTGTTACGCGCTGTGAGTGACTTGTTCAATGATTTAGTAAATATTCATAGCTCATTCCAAAACTTGTTCTTGTGCCTTGCAAATATATATGTCTCTATGGCATTTTTGTGTATTAAATGATTCAAATATATTGCCTTACATGTAGTTAACAATAAGTTGTGATTTGATTTGTTATTATTGTTGTAATAATTATACATACATACATACATCCGTACAAATATACAACAAGACATCAGCCCAAGCTGCAGTATTTATCAATCAGAGTGTTTGTCACTGTTGTTCCGTATTGTCGTCGTTGTGTTTTGTGTTGTTTTTTTATTTCTTGTTTAATCATCGAGTGCAACAAACATTACAACTCGAACCCGACCACCAGTTGCCCACCCACCCGCAGCTGCTTTGCGAATACGATCACGAATCAAACATAAATCAACATCAATCTAATCAAACATAATGGAAATTTGGCGCTCTGTCACAGTTAGCGCATTTCTACTATTCGGATTTGTATTTTTCTATAGTACTGTGGAGGTGGAATCGTGCAATGAAGTCGTCTGCGCCTCAATTGTCTCCAAATGCATGTTGACGCAGAGTTGCAAGTGTGAGCTCAAGAATTGCTCCTGTTGCAAAGAGTGTCTCAAATGTCTGGGCAAAAAGTACTATGAGGAATGCTGCAGTTGTGTGGGTAAGTGAAAAAAGCACCCATTTCATGCCTGCATTGTGTGCGCTTGTGTGTCTGTATATGTATGCAGGGTTAACGAGCTATTTACAAAAATGATGTGATGATCAAGACATTTTTATAGCGATTCCGATGTCGCAGTTGTTTTGTGTTGTTTTGGTATTTACATATGTATACAGATTTGTTATTGTATGTGCGCATGTGCCTAAGTGTTTGTTGTCTGTCTATCGAAATTGAAACCTGCATCTATCGATACTTTGAGCTGTCGTTTGGCACTAGGGCGCATTGAAACAATCACATCTTAACCTTACAGTTGTTGTTATGTTTCTTTGCTCCCCCTTTTTTATATGGCCTCTTCTCCTTAAAAAACAATTAATACATTTTCGGCCATCCCCCGTCAATTAGAATTTTAAATAGTTTAAATAACTACATTCCAAGTGAAAGTAACGGGTTTTCTTTTTCAATTAATTTTACGCAGACATCTTTGTTGTACTTTTATATTTGTATTTGAAATTTGTAAGGCAAATTGGTGGGTTATTTTCTAATTGTTATTAATATTAATTATTTAATTTTTTAGAGCTGTGTCCAAAACCCAACGACACGCGCAATTCGCTGTCAAAGATGTCCCATGTCGAAGATTTTGATGGCGTTCCCGAGCTCTTCAATGTACTAGCCAATACACCTGAGGACAGTAATTTTGATTACGATTGGGATGTTTTCACATTTCAAGTAGATTTCGATACCGTTTTGGCGGGTCCGAAGCTGGAAAAGGATGTTAAATACTATCTAAGTAAGTAATTCATCAAACACGCAAATAATTCTTAATAAATAAACAAACACGATGAACATTTACTTGCAACAGAAACAAATGATAAGAATCTAGAAGAGGCCATGAAGGAACGCGATAATATTGTAACCGTCAATTGTACAGTCATATATTTGGATCAGTGCGTTTCTTTGAATAAATGCCGTCAGAGCTGTCAAACAACAGGAGCGAGCAGTTATAGGTACGCAAACAAAACTTTTACATTATTTCAAAAATTAAATTTGGATTATCTACAGATGGTTTCATGATGGTTGCTGTGAATGTGTGGGCTACACTTGTATTAACTATGGCGTCAATGAGAGTCGCTGTAGGCATTGTCCTGAATCGAAAGACTTAACTGATGATTTTGACGACGATATGAATGAAGAAATGCAGGATTTCGGCGATAATATGGGTCCTTTTGACGGCTCAGTGAATAGTAATTATTAAAAGCAGCAAACAAATGCCATTTTATAAACAAAACGAAACTATATTTAACAAATTAGTTACTCAAAACAGTGACATTAATATTGTGTAGTACGAAATAATATTTGTATAGCATTATTGATTATTATTATTTTTTTTATTTAAAATTTTAGGCACTTTTGATTGTTTTGCATTTTGAATACTAAAAATGAAAATAAATGTACTTTGTATATTGTATGAGAAGCTAAATGTATTTTTTGAAATCTGTTTGTGGGCGCGCAAGGGTTAAGGCAAGTACATCAACCACAACAAGTTCATATGACAGTGCGTTCTGTTTGTTACAAAATGACAGTTAATGCGTGCATTGTTAATAGGTTGGAATTTAAACATGCTTTAATACATTAATTTGGAACAAATACAATTAAAATTTTATTAATGCCAGGCACCACACACGCACACACACATGCATTGTGGCCATCAGCTGACTGTGCGCAACCTTAGCCATCAGGTGGCAACTCTAACGCCGCAATCTGCATGTAATTTCAACAGACTGAGCAACACAGCGTTACGTATTCGAAGCGGCATAGGAAAAAGGGGACTACACAAAGTGCCTAGGAATTATGTTCAAAAGTCTGCAACATGTGAGAAATGTGCTGCAACGTGGACCCCACTATATAACGCACTGTTACCGGAATGCGTCGCTTATCAAGGATGCCAACGGCCTGGCTACTACATTGGCCGCAGCGACCGGCATTGGTCTGGGCGGTGTACGAAGGCAGCTTGCAACTTTGCCGCTTAGTCGGCGACAGGTAAAGTTGTTCCCATAGCCAGCTATAGTTGGAAATTTATAGATTGGTTTGGTTTGGCTTTGCAGTTCCGTCAGCTGCACGCCGAGTACAAGGCCATTGTCGGCGTGATAGCGCGCTCGCTGCAAGTGACGCCGCGTGAGGTGCAGCAAATGTACTTGCGTTTGATGTGTACGGGCAATCCGGAGAGACCAGGCGGTCCAAGCAAGGACAATACCAGCAGTAGCAAACCTTCCAAGCCCACAAAGTCAGAGTCCAAAGAAAGTGATGAAACGGCGGCGGAACGTACCACCACCAGTAGCAGTAGAGCTAGCACTGAACCGTCTACCAGTGGCGGTGCCAGTAGTAGCAGCAGCGGTTCACCGTCCAGTTCCAGCGAGGAGCCTAACAAAAACAACGAGAATGAGGAGAAAATGCGCTCGGTTCTGACCAAAGCGGTGCTCTGGCTCTTCACTATCTATATGTTTGTGGCTTTAATATCCCTGCTGATTACACCTCGCTCGGAGCAACCAGAGGCAAGTGTGTTTGGCACTGTCTGGGCCCAACAGTGAACCGGCAGATAATATAAGTTTCTTTCGTTTATTTAAGCACAGGGCTCAACGCGTTATGTGTCTTGGAATGAGTTTGTGCATCACATGCTTGCTGTGGGCGAGGTTAAGGAGTTGATCATACGCCCTGATATGGAAATGGTTACCATTATATTGCACGAGGGTGCTATCATAAAAGGGCGCAAAGTCACATCAACCATCTTTCATATGGCCGTTGCCGATGCTAATAAATTTGAGGAGAAGCTGCGCGAAGTGGAGAAGCGTCTGGGTATTACGGATGGTGTGCCTGTCACCTACGATCGGCAAACAGATACCACAGGTCGTATTCTTATGCTATTACTTTTTTGTGCGCTGCTCATGTCTATAGCCACGCGTATGCGCAGCATGAAGAGCCCCTTAAGTATGGATTCCTTTGTGAGTATGGTCTACGACTGTTTTTTAGAATGTGATTCCTTTAATACTTTCCCAATCTTTTGTAGAATCAAATGGGTCGCGCCAAATTCACTCTCGTGGATCCCTTCGATGGCGGCCGTGGCGTTCTCTTTCGCGATGTCGCTGGCTTAAATGAGGCTAAGCAGGAAGTTAAAGAGTTTGTGGACTATTTAAAATCACCGGAAAAGTATCAGCGCCTGGGCGCAAAGGTGCCGCGGGGAGCTTTACTGTTGGGTCCACCTGGATGCGGTAAAACCCTCCTGGCTAAGGCAGTGGCTACTGAAGCTCAAGTGCCGTTCCTCAGTATGAACGGATCCGAGTTCATTGAGATGATCGGCGGTCTGGGTGCAGCACGTGTGCGCGATTTGTTCAAGGAGGGCAAGAAGCGTGCGCCGTGCATCATTTATATAGACGAGATCGATGCAATAGGCCGACAGCGATCCGGTACCGAAAGCATGGGCCAGGGAAGCTCTGGCGAATCAGAACAAACATTGAATCAACTATTGGTCGAAATGGATGGCATGGCCACCAAGGAGGGCGTTCTTATGTTGGCGAGCACGAATCGTGCTGACATACTGGATAAGGTTAGTTTGCCATTGAGTGATTAGTCTGATTAGTTACCTGATTAGTTATGTCTATAGGCCCTCCTGCGACCAGGTCGCTTTGATCGTCACATTCTTATAGACCTGCCCACCCTGCAGGAGCGCAAGGAGATCTTCGAGAAGCATTTATCATCTGTAAAGCTGGAGGCAGCGGCTAATACGTACACACAGCGCTTAGCGCGCCTGACGCCTGGCTTTTCTGGTGCCGATATAGCCAATGTATGTAACGAGGCTGCGTTGCACGCTGCGCGTAGTATGCAAACCGTGGTGACCAGCAAAAATCTGGAATATGCCGTTGAACGATTAGTGGGTGCGTGTGACAATAACAATCTTATATTATCGGTGTATGCCTAATCACTGATATTTACAGGTGGCACAGAGAAGCGTTCGCATGCTTTGTCGTTGGCCGAGCGCAAGGTGATTGCCTACCATGAGTCTGGCCATGCATTAGTCGGCTGGATGCTGCCCAACTCAGATATATTGCTCAAGGTGACAATTGTGCCACGCACGAGCCTGGCGTTGGGTTTTGCGCAATATACACCCAGTGAGCAGCATCTCTATAGTAAGGAAGAGCTCTTCGATAAGATGTGCATGGCATTGGGCGGTCGGGCGGCAGAGAATCTGGTGTTCAATCGTATTACGACAGGCGCGCAAAACGATCTGGAGAAAGTGACAAAGATAGCCTACTCGCAAATCAAAAAGTTTGGTATGAATGAAAATATTGGACCCATGTATGTGCGAGATTCAGAGGAAACTGGCGGTAGTGGCACTGATAAGCCCTTTTCAAGAGCAATGGAGAGCATGATCGACCATGAAGCACGCCATATGGTTGCGAATGCATATATGACCACCGAGGGCATACTCACAAAGCATCGCGACAAGCTCGAGAAGGTAATATTATTGATGTATTAAATTTTTGTTTTTAAATTCGTAATTTATACAGTTAAAATTTTATTTAAAAGCCTGTTTTAAGTCTTTCGTAGCCGCACTCTTCAGTTTCCATTTAAGCTTTGATGGAACTTTACAGATCTCATTTTTTTGTATTGCTTCATAGGATTGATGTCGTTTATAAGTTTAATTCTAGTATATCATTTTGGAATTTTAATTATGTTTTTCAGTTAATTTAACTAAAAAGGAACGGCGCCAGAATAGCGATTCTATATTTTTTTATACGCCCTTGTCGATTCATCATTTTAATTTAAAGGATACTTACAAAATTGATTAAGTATTGCATTATATTTTAAAAGGACTCCAGCTATGCAGTTAGTACAGTTAATATTTCAAAAACGCCGAGATCGAAATTGTTAAATGCCACATTGTGGCAATATGCTTCGGTCCCTTTCTCTCTCTCTCTCTCGCTCTCTCTCACACAGTTTATTCATATATATGTCTTGCTCTCTTTGTTTTGTCTTTCAGCTGGCCGAGGCCCTACTCGAAAGGGAAACTCTGGACTATGATGAAGTTGTTGATCTGATAGGACCACCGCCCTATGATCCCGCCAAGCGTCGAGTGGATGGCGTTGAATTCGAGCAATCGCTTAAGAATCTGAGCAATGATGCGCCAAAAGCTTGAAAGCATCTCTGTAAGCTCGGTGTTCTTTTCACTTTGCGTTTGCCTGTGTGTGTGTGTGTTTCTGCGTGCGCATTAGTTAAATGTAAATAAAGTTGTTTACCTTTTTAATTGAATTACAAATTGCATTTATTTTCGCCTTTGACTGGTGCGCGTGTGTTATAAGCTATACCTATAAACTAATTGCTGTTAAGTACACCGATTATAGGTCATTTGGTGTGAAACGTTTGAAATTTGTTGTCTGGGCACATCTAAGCTATTGCTGCCGGACTAAGCCAGCGTATTGTTCTACATACATACATACATACATACATGCATGTGCATGTAAATACATACATATATAGATACATACATATATACAAATCAATGGACCTGAGGTAATGCAAAGTCAATTAGCAGCATTTATATTTGCACGAGTATATCGGATTACGAGTGCTAGTACAAAATAATAAATTGTGCAAATTAATGGTTCACACTTGCTTTACGGCTTTTAAGCGGTTTCTAATGGCCGTCAGGGAGCACGTGCAGCTAAGCACAATTAAAACCAACGATTTTAATGCCTCTCAATGACTAGTCAAAAGCTCAATTACATACATATGTATATTATTAACTTTGTTTACGAACATTACACCATTTTTTGCATATCCTGTTAAAATTCCATGACGATTGGATAAATAGAATCCGATTAAAGTAAAGTAGTGTTTATGCTATCGGTGCAATATATATTAATATATTGATCAATATATGTTTTAAGCTCGTAAACGTTTTCATTGATGAAAAAAGTTTATGGTAATACGCAATTGTTCATCTCGTTATTTCTGAAGATACAGTTGGAAAAGTGCGCATATTAATCAATAATTAGTAAAAATCTTCGGTGAAAGTAATCAAAACTCAAATAATTATCTCCAAATGCATGTTTGACGTAAAATAAACTGAAATATAATTTCTTCTTAGTTTTAATTCTCCGTTCTTTGGGGCACATGTTGTAGTAAAAAATGAGCTAAGATATGATATGTTGTGATATATTCTTTCTCGAGACGTTGCATCTGGTTTAATAATTTGGTTGTCTGACAAACTACAATATAGTTAATGCAGAATTTTTAGAAAAGATTTACAAGAGAAAATATGCTTTATACAAGTATAGTCTGTTAAGTGCAACTTCGTCGTAACTTGCTATACGCCTCTTATTATTATTTATTATAATCATTGGGTAGAGGTTTATTTACTGCTACTTCTATTTCCCTTTACTTGGTTTTATTGCTTCTCTCCGAACCATCAATTTCAAGTGTTAACGGCTTAGCCTCCCAAATGAGCCAGCCTCAGCTGACTGACTGATTGATTGCCTATTTAACGTAGGTTTATATAACTTATTTCAATACAAGTACATATAGTTACAAATGGAGGTATAAACTATACATATGAACATATATTGATGGCTGGAATAAATGGTTGGTCAGCATAGGGACTGATTTATTCAATTCTTTTGAAGGCAAAATTCATTGTTAAAGACTAATATTAATTGATATTTATGAAATGAATGATCTAGTAATATTGGTTCCAAATTATTTTACAATTTCAATCTCTGTTCCAGTTTTAAACTCGTACATGCTATGAACTCTTGCTTATATTTTTTATATGCCATGAGCTCAACTTTTAGAAGAATTGTATGGTTGGAGATCTAGGATTCAATATTGGTCCCAATTGTTGCTCTCAATCTTTTGCTCTCAATTCGATGAGCTTCAAAGTAGCTCAGTGCTGCTGAATGTTTAACAAAGAAGTGTGATAAGTATTGTTTATCTAAGAAGTGAAGAAATTCGGCTTAAGGGTGTGACATTCGTAATTGCTCAACAAATACGAATTGCAGGAACTCTATTAACAATCAGATGTTGGGCAAAGTTTTGTGGGCCTACGTACTTATAAGTACGAGTATATGACCGGACTTTGGCAAGACTATAGCGTATTTGCAAGCGCTTGTATCTATTTGCACGTTTCTTCTTTCTGTTTAGTGCTATGACAATATCAGGGTCTTGACATTTAGCGATAAATCGCAAGCACTTTTCTAAGCTAAACTAAAAACAAAAAAAAATTAAATAAAGTAGCCTAAGAATCGGAAAACTAGTTTGAACGTTTCGTAATTGTAGACGTCAGATTAGACCGACCGCCGACCACGGACTGTCGCCTTATTAGTTAGCGTAATTTTTATTTTTAAATATTCATTGATTTATTAACAAATTACAGTTTATCAAACGGGGCGACTCACTCACCGACGTCTCATTCGTAGTCTTAGTGTCGCTCTTAACTTTAACTCTACCCGTATTTGCGCTGTTAATGGACAAAGACGCCCCATAAATACGCGACGCCCGCAGTCTCCAGTTGTTAGTTTGTCAGTTGTCGCGGGAGCTGAAGCCGGTGAAAATGTTTTACGCAAATTTATTGAATTTCCCGTTGGCCGCAACTGTTGTTCTTCTTATTGTTGCAGCATCAGACGTTGCAGCCAAAGATACATTTCGTGAGTGAAAAGTTCTAAAGCGTGATAAATTTCTGAAACATCAAGTGTTGTTGTTGTTGTTGTTGTTTTTCCACTCAGCTGCTCCTTTGAAACGGTGTCGGGTGGACGATGAAGCATGCATTGTCAGACAAGGTCAAGCCTTTTTCCAGAATTTCAAGAACGGTTTGCCAGACCGCCAGATACCCAGTTTAGAGCCCCTGCAATTGGGCACACTTAGGGTGGTAAGTGGTGGCCCTGGTGACTCGCTACACTTCACATTGGTGTTGACGGATACCACGCTTCACAATTTCGGTGACTCGGTGGTGGTCAAGAGCCTTAAGGGCTTCACCAAGGATCTAACCAAACCGCTCAAGCTGACCTTTGTCACAGCCATGCCGGAACTGGAGCTGCACGCCAAATATGATGTGAATGGCAAAATATTGATCCTGCCTATAGTCAGCCAGGGCGATGTCGTCATGAAGCTAACCAAGGTGCTTGCCAAAACGCGGATAAGTGCGGAGCCGGACAAGCGTGCAGATGGCCGCACGTATTTGAAGATCGTCGAATATAAAACGGTCACCAAAGTTGGCACGTAAGTTGTGCAGAGTACAGTCCAAGGTGAAAACTATATGGGACCTTCACTTACCTACTGTTACTACTAGACTGTTACTACTAGACTGTTACTACTAGATTTAGACATCGCTTTATCTTTTTAGTATACAAGTATGTATTTGTTTCTATTGAATTTTGAGGACTGGAAAATTCTGTAACTTAATTGGGTTTATGATGAGTTTTCTAAATGGTTTTTCAATTCGTTAATACTTGGACATAAGTCTAATAAGTACAATACACCAGAATGCACTTGATAGATATATTAGTATGTGATGAGTATGAAATTTGTATGGCCTGTATCCGAATGGTGCAAAGTGGGTATACTATGTACATATGTATGTATGTACCTCATGATGAGCATTACGAGAAGAATCGATATATAGACATGTTCGTCTGTCCGTCCGTATGAATCCCTGAAACTGTTCAGCCATAACAGCTAGGGACAACAACATTGGTATGTACTTAGACTTGAGTTAACCATACACAGCGCCAATTTATTACGAATCATATAAGCCTCATTATTTAATATGTAGGTCCGGCAGGACGATAGTGGCGAATATCACTTGGTAAGATAACTTACTTTTTATAAAGATGTTTTAGCCAAACTTGGTATTCATAAGTTTTGTGTAACAAAAACTGCAATTTGTTACTTCGGTTTCCTTAATTTTTTTTTATACCCTGTACCCTGTAGGGTAAAAAGGGTATATTAGGTTTGTGCAAAGTATGTAACATGCAGAAGGAAGCATCTCCAACCCCATAAAGTCATATAGTCTGTCCGTCTGGATGAACGCAAGGATCTCAGAAACTATAAAAGCTAGAATAGCCAAAGTTGGCATCCAGATTCTCCTAGGTCTGAGTAAGGACGAGTTTATTTTATTTTTTGGAATTTTCCCCCCCTTCCCCCGCTACAGAATTTCGTCAATAGCGTCCACATTTCAAATGCTACCTAAACCAAACTTTGAACACATAATTTAGATATAATTATCTATTACTGTTCAAAGTACACTGTCGGGCTTGCTCGACTGTAGCGTTCTCTCTTCTTTTTAATTGTTTCTATCGTTCAAATCGATCGAAATCGGCGCAATATATTATAGTCCGCGGTAACCATATGTCTGTCTGTCTGTCCGTGCGTTTGTCCGTATGAACGTCTATCTACTACTTCCGCACTTCTAAAACTATCGCGTTGCAACTTTCCACCGACACAGATCATATTATATTAGATCGCTGTGCTCGTAATTATAGTTATATTGTATCACATTATACCCTTACTATGGAGGTATATGATGTAAGGTCCATCTTATAAGTAGCTTCAGCTCGATAAAAAGTTCACTATTCAGAGTTGACTGAGCATGGCAAGTTTTAGTCGAAATATAGGAACAGTCAATGTTTTATTGATTCGTTGAAACGTATTACTTATTGAAGGAAAGTCGATATATATATTTTTTTAAACCTCGCAAAAAAGCTCAATCGCATTCAAGGGTGTAGGCAGGGGGGTGGGAGCAACAAATTTTGCCATATAAAGTCGACCACACGTTCATTATTATGACGTACTATTTCGCCTTAAAATGGATCTGAGTTGGATTTGTTGAAGCTTTTCCATTGATCATATGCATCAGTTATTTTTTAAATGCATCGTGCGTTATTTAATCAAAATTTTAATTTTTTGACCCCCCTCCGCATTTGGTAAAAGCTGCCTACGCCCTTGATCCCATTCGATTTACGTGAAACGGATCCCTATAATATAGTATAGTATTACTGATAATGTTATCTTTTAATTTATGTTTTACAGTGGTCGATTTAACATGTCGAATCTTTTCAACGACAATGAAGAACTGCGAGAAACCACTCTGAAAACCCTAAACGATCAATGGGATGCTCTATCAAATGATGTGCAGCCCAAAATTAATGAAGCCCTGGATCGCGTCTTCAAAATGTCCCTGCAACGTTTATGGGACAATATACCATACGATGAATTCTTTGAAGACGATTAAATGTATTATATAAAGTTTAAATTGTACTTGTATAGTATCTACAATATGATATGTGTATAGAGTAGAAAAAAGTGAAACTGGTAACAAAGTAAAACGATTTTTGTGTTCTGGTTTTGGTTAGCAACCATTTGGATGTTATTGCAGGTATTTATTTGGAAAAAAACAGTTGTTCCTAAAGTTGAAAGGTTTTCAACGTACAAGTATTCGATGCCAAAATGCCGCAATGGAAATCGCCGATATGGATTAAATGGGTTGGTGTAGTTGGTTGCGTTCTACGGGGAAGACAAACTGCTGTGGAAACTGAAAAGAAAAGCAAGCACATACATATGTAGATAGTATGAAATATATATAGAAATATTTAATTGGTTACAAAACAGCTCATCAACTACGTATGTAGCCCTGCCCCCGCCGATTTTTGGTTTAAAAATATTCAAATTATTGAATTTACAATCATTTTGATTGTTAATTGCTTGATGCAAGAATACGTTTTCATTTCGGATTCAGGCTTTCCCCACTAATGAGTGCCTTATGGCATCAAATGTGCAACTCACGTAGTACTCTGGCTCTTTGGTTGATAATCTTAGGAAACATGCTGGTGATTCGGTTCTAATCGTTGCCCCTTTTAGCTGCTGGACGGATCATTTACACTGCTGGTTTGGCTGTGTGTGTCAGTCAGCAGCACTTAGTCGTTAAGTTATCCATCGCCATGTTGCGTCTGATCCTCCTCCGGATGTTCCACTATTTTGCTATCCGATTGTGACATGGACGACTATGCGAAGCACAGAATTGTTGAGCGTTGATTAATATTCGAGGAGAGAGTGAATATTCGAATTTTACCTTAGTTTTTCGATGTTTGCCATCCTTATCATTATCCTGCGGACTTTCCGACCCATCTGTGGTTTTTATGAACGATGAGTAGAATGATGAGAAACTGGAGCCATCCATGTCGTCGCTGTTCCCATTACTGTCTGTGTATTTCTAATAAATGGTAATCATGGTATTCAGTTACAGAAATACTAAAGCTACTAATGGGTCCTCCCTCTCTGTTACCTTCATATTGGAACTATGATTGGGAACATCGGATGTGTAGTCTCCCATTACGGAGGCAATGGAAGAGTCTGCCACTTCCTTTTTAGAGCTGTCCGAGGGTGCCACATTGGAACCGGGCTCTGCTTTGACAGACGTTGCCTGCGACGAGGGTCGTTGTAGTTGAGCCGGCGTTATGGAATGGAATGCGCCCTGAATTCTCGTAGTTGTAGGTGGCGCCACCATAGTCTGTTGTGCCTGCCGAAAGAAAGGGCAAATCGTAATGTCTTTCTATTGCATCTAAAACTTAGTTTAGATTTTTTCGAATCGAAACAGAACTACTCGTTTGTCTTGAAATTCCGCTAACTAACAGTTCAATCGATTTTAATAATCAGTGAAATCGAAACTTATTCTGGAGCTTAGGATATTTCCCAAAACCAGATTGATTAATCATTAGATGCTCTAAAAAAAAAAGAATAAGCCCATAACCAACAGGCCATATAATATAAAAAATCGCAGAGAGAATTATATAGTGGGTTTAAGGAGCGATTTGGAATTTTATTGCAATCCAAAAAGGTGGAAAATCTTTCCAAAAATAGGACAATAATCTGAGTCAATATATTTTGAAGTACCTATTATTGCTATTCCACCGTCAGTAAACACTATAGTAGTTTTCATTTTAGTTGTTCATAGAACCACCAACAATTAAATGTTGTCTGATGGAACAGTCTTTGAGGTGTTCTTTCTAAAGCGGGTGTGTTTCTCGTTTCTCGAGAGTTGTTGAGAAATCGCGATGGATTCTCTGTGATTTGCTTACCGAATGTATAATCTTATTGTAACTGGACTGCGAACTAGTGGGCTGATCCGGCAGCTGCATGGCGTTGGCCACGCTCGGGAACGGCATAGGCTGGTACATCATGGCTGTGGCCGCCGCTGCCGCCGGATGTGTGTAGAATAGGGATGGATGGGGATACATGACGCCAGCCATATACTGCAATGGCATGGCCTGCTGCGAGGTGCTGGGCATCTCTACAGTCTTCCTGGCCGTGGTATTGGATGTGCTTGCTGCTGCCGCCGGTATATAGTAGAAGGCGGAGAAGAGGCTGTGCTGTGGCGAGAAGCTGCTCTGCGCCATAGCTGTGTGTGTGGTGTGCGCCGGTGTCGTGATTCCCACTGAGAATGGTGACCAGAGATTTATGTTTTTGGTATACTGATGCTGACTAGTGGGTAGGGCGCCCGACTTGGCCGGCATATCTGTGGCGTTGGTCAGCTGCTGTTTGGGCTTGTTGGCCTCACCCTCCCATGAGTGTGAGCCGCCACGTTTGATGCCGTGACCAGGGCCACTATACTCGAGCATTTTATCGGTGACCGATTTCTTGTTCTTTTCGCCACTGCGTCCGCGAGACTCTCGATGCTTTTTCAACATACATTTTTCCATCTCGTCGTTGTGCTTGTTTAGCAAAGATTCGGTGAGTGTGACAGTTACGGGTGGTGCACTGGAACCCCCATTATTGGCACCATGCGCCCCCGAGGTGCCTGAGGTGCCGGTCCCGGCGTTGCTGGTGTTGGTCACACTACTCATGTGCCTATTACTGCCAGATGTGAAATTACCAGATGATCCGCTGCCGCCGCTGCCTTCGAAGCACTGCACCAGACTGAGGGTACTTCGCGCATCGGCACTACTCATGTATGAGGGTTCCATCTTTTGCGGATCGAGCTCAACGGGCGCGGTGACAGGCTTGCTGTTAAAAAAACGCAGCAGGTTCTCGTTATAGTTTAGCTGATTGTAGCTGGGTGGCGTCTCAGTGGAACTCTTACTGTCAGAGTAGTCGTGATGCGGCGAAATCTCCCCGAGCATTACGCTGTCACGTTCGGAGACCGTCAGCTCGTTCTCATGAGGCAGCTCCAGCTTGAGATCGGCACGCGACACCTCATCCATAAGCGTCTCCATGAAGGAGGCCAGCGCCTGGCAGCGGCGGGAAACTTCTTGTTTGACCGCATCGGATGGCCGCGACACACTTTCCGCAAATAATTTCACAATTTCCTCTTTGATGCGTGCGCTGCGACTCAGCGCCTCGTCCGAGATTTTGGTCTTTATATTGGGTGCTGCCTCGAATACGTTGCAATGTTTGGGTCCTGAAATTTAAGTCTTAGTTAATGCTATTTAACGTAGAAGGGAGAGAGATCCCCCAACTACTTACCCTGAAATACGCGGTGATGGCCAACGACAAACTCCAGCTTGCGTGACCACGGATTGACGAAGCTCGTCCATTCCGTCTCTAGCAATACGTAACATCCATTTTGTATAAGAAAACGGTACGGTTTGCTGCAAAAGAAGGCTCCAGCTGTTTGGCCTTTCTTCATGATCATTTCGTAGGTCTCCTTCATGACCAGCAGGTCTCCGTGATGGTAAAAATCCATAATGGAACGGCCAATCAAGTCCTGGGGCAAATACCCCAGCGCAGACACGGCTGCGCTATCCACGTGTGAAATAATGCCGGTGGCCGTGTGGCGTATGGCGAATTTTGGGCTCTTCTGCGATAATATCTCATCAGGAACTATAAGAAATATAGCTAGATTATGGTTAGGTTCATGGGTTTTCGCCGATCTCACTATTCACTCTAAAACCAATACCAAGCAGGCACCTTCTAGACAAATTCGTTCTAAGAATCAGTCTTATTAAATGCTGAATAGCTTCCATTTGTCGAGCATTGTAGATCATGAACAATTTGTTTACTTATTTGTGCTTATTATACCCTGTACCCGTAGGGTAAAAATGGTATATTAGGTTTTTGCAAAGCTTGTAACAGGCAGAAGGAAGCATCTCCAACTTCAACCATAAAGTATATGTATATATTCTCGATCTGCATGAGGAGACGAATCGATCCTGGATTTCGGAAACTGCTGAGCGCACTTACACCAAACTTGGTATGTGGACTCCCCTAGTCTATACGAGTTTCTTTAATTTGCTTTATTTCCGATCGGCACAACGAATTTTTTTAGTAATATTTTTCAGCCATAGACCTTTGTAGAAACATGTTTAAGCCATCAAAAATATACATTGTCTGCGAGTGTAATTTTTTTAAGTAAACGAAACGCTAAACCCTAAATTAAGGATTTACTAAATACTCTATCCTGCGTACGTGAAAAGGAGTTGTAGCGTATACGGCTATATTTTCCCACTGGTTGATGCCACTTACCTTTATAGCTGCTTTTAATGGGAGTGGCACAGATTACTAGCAGCATATTAGTGCTATTTGATACCATATAGTTATCCGGTCTTGCCTCCTCTGGTGCCTCGCGAAACGTCAAGCCCAGCCGGAACGGTTCATAGTTTACAGCTCGGCCGATGACGCCAAAGCCCCCGGACTTGAGACCCCGATAGCGTCGCAGCATCACACAGAAGGTGCTACGCGCATCCTTGGGCATGCTTCCGCGTGACTCAGCAATTGGTATGCCTGTCGTTATTTGGCTGGCAAAGGTGGCCCGGTCCTTCACATGCACAAAGTCAATAAATGATCGTCCCAGCCACATGTCGCGCGGATAGCCGAGCACATCGGTAATACTGGGCGTTGTGTAGAGAACTATCCCGTCATGCATTGAGATGACGCAACAAAAACTGTCTTCCTTAACGCGCTCCTGTTGTCGAGCCCCCGACTCGAGCTTGCCCGGCGCCGATTCGCATGTCTTCTCGGACTTACCACCTTGTGATGCCGAAAGCGCCAATGGGGAGGGTGTGGGAAACTGGAGGGTCTGCTCCGATTTGTTTTGTTCAATATTCTCAGCCTCCAGCTGTGCATCGCTCTGAGTCTCCTGTGGAGGCTCGCACATTTGCTGAGCCGTCTCGGTCTGTAGCAACAGGCCGTCGCTGGTGCTTGGCTGTTCTTCGGCATTTTCTAGAGCTCCCGTTGTCGTCTGTACCACACATTTGACCTTCTTCTTTTTCCGTGACTTGTCCTTGTTGCGTTTAATGATCATGTCGCTGCTGCTGGCCTGTGTCGATGGTTTGCCGCCATAGCCGCTGCTGCCTGAGGAGTGGCTGCCGCTTAGTCGGGATTTTGAGCTGCCACTGTGAGGCGTAGAGGGAAAACCAATGATTGGTGGTCAACTGCTTGATTTCGAAATCAATGAAGGACTCACCTGCGTTGTGATTGACTGTTACTGCAACTATTGGAGTAGGCTGAGTCAGACACTTTGGTATTGTGTGTGGACTCTGTGGATTCACCCTCCATTTTGTGGTTTTAAAAAGTATTCTTGAATTATTCAACAATTCGTTCAATTGGTCAAAAGTGCCTATAAAGGGAAGGATCTCTTAATTCTCTGTTATGAGCACGAATAGCTTAAGCAGCTGCTCAATAATACAATGAAAGTTTCCCTTTCTTAAATATTAACTAGTTGGATTGTGTGTACTTTTTAAATATTTTTACATTTAAAAATTAAAATATGAGATGTATAGTGTTTTAGTAGGAATCTTTAACTGGTGCATAGAGTTAAAACGTAAATAATATTTAGAGGCAGATTTCTTTAAATGTTTTCTTTTTGTTATTCCTTTCATTCCGATGTAGGAGGAATTCGATATTTACTTGGAATATATTAAAAAAATCAAGCAATCTAGTAATCCATTAGTCTTGTGGTCATATATTTATCTACCTATATACAAGTAATTAAACAAAGTATCTTTTTCTTCCCTATTTACGAATTGACTTGTCCTTTCATTTGCACACCGTTACGGCTTGTTTAGCTAAATGATCAATCATACGCGGCGTATACGTAATGCCATCACGTTTTTTGTTTTGTTTTGTTTTGACATAAAAACAAATGGGCGTGTACTTCATTTTTGCTCGTCAGCACAAGAAATTGTGTCTGTCGTATAACCAATTAACAGGCACGTGTTTTCTCCTAATCTGCAAAAAGTGGAGGAGCACTTATGTAAGATAATGCGCTCTAACCTACAGCACATGGTAATTATTTAATTAATTAATTAAACACTACAATTGTATGCACCCACATACACACATACGTCAACGATAAATAAGCAAGGAACCATCTTGTTTGTATCTGGACAACTCTGAATAATTCCAATGTCTTTAAAATTGGCGCCAAATAGGGGCAACCTAATTCTACTAAAAGTCTCAAACGCCAGCATATACGCAGTAATACTCAAAGGTTTTCCAACAATGAGATACATTTTTTGTAAATATATATTGAAACACTTTTTATGGTTCCTAAAGTTGTACCTTTCTTATACCCTGTACCCTGTACGGTGTAGGATAACTGGTTTTTGTGACAAATAAAAGGACGCGTGGTTGGCCCCACAAAGTATGAAGTATATAGGCGTTCGGCCGACCGTCTGTCTGTATGAACACAAATATATCTCAAAGTATAGGAGGAAGAGCCAATAAACTTGGTTTGGTTCTTCTAAGTGAGAAGTTTTGGTCATAATTGTTTTTCTAGATATATGTATAAAGAAAAGATGTTAAGCTATTTTATCTGCTTTTTGACTTCATGATTCATTTAAGTCCGCGATAGCATCATTTTTGTTAAAGCTCATGTAATTCCTAAAATTTCAATATCGAGAGCAATGGCAAGCAGGAACCGGCCGGATAGGACGATAGTTGTCAAAACTTTAACCAAATCTGATTACTACATCACACACCTACCATGAGAACAATAAGACATTATTTCCTCGTGGGGTCATGGACCCCGGACTGTACAAGTATATCTTATTGTGTCAACACTATATAATTTTTCAGTAATTGCCATATCTGGCTGAGGATTTGATCATGCATGATTTTTATAAAAACCATTCTTGAATTGTTTCTTTTCAGACGGTTTCGACATACAAGTATTATTTGTATCCGTCAAAAAGAAGCCTCGGTGCACAGTTTCAATGCAATAGTTTCTAGGCCGGTGATTGAAATAGACGGACAGACGAACAGATGTACATCGCGATTCTACTTTCTTATGGGTGTGTGAAAAATGCACATCCATATCTATGTATATACCCGTACACTTTTAAGTGAAGGCTGCACAAGGTTTTGTTTCTATACCCAATGCCCATACAATTTGTTGTCTAATAACGAAGAAGTGCCTCAATCCACAGCCAAGATATGTTCTAGTGCTGTACGAGCGCACATATTTTTGCACAGTGTAGCAATGCACATTGCGCAACGATCGTTTTTTATTTTTATTAATAAAGTGTTGCTGATTTTAGTTCAACTTTTTTTATTTGCCCGTCTTTTACATTCCTTAATGATTAGATGTAGATGAAAACAAAAATGCAATTGTGTAATCAGAATATCGGCGATTTAATTCAAATGAATCAAATTTAAAAAATGTCAGCAGTGCTTAAAGTTAAGTAACTGACGCTATATACGTAATACATTTATATCAATCAATATGTCTCAATCGTGTGCTCGCAAAACTCAGTAACTTCAACGTTTGACTGCGTTTTTTCGTTACCTTGGACTGTAATTCCCAAGTTCTATTTCCAAGGGCGTTTTAAATTGTATTGAATGGATTTCAAGAATAAAAACATGAATCTTGTAATATATATTAATTCATATGTTTTAAGCATCTGCTCTCAAAACTCAGAAACTTCAACGATTGACTTGGCGTTTCTTCGTTAACTTGGACTGCAATTCCAGAGTTCGTTTTCCAAGGGTGTTTTAAATTATATAAAATGGCATTTAAAGGATTAAAAAAAATATCTTGTGGCGTAAATTAAGCCCATGTCCATTTCAAATCAAGTCTATATGGGATAAAAACAATTTCAAATCAGCATTATTCGAAATTCAAAACAAACCTAAAAAATGTTTTTTGGTCTTGGTGTAGGAATTTTCGAGCTGGCAGCACTTTTGTCACTGTTTGGTATCGATTTATACCTAGTTTGCATAAACTTCTATCTTTTTTCATACAATACATGGTACATACACACATGTGCACGTAAAATTGCACGGACGGTGCTAAGTTTTAAAGTTTATTTTGATAAATTAGTTGAAGTAGTAAAGTTTGCTTTCGAACACTGGCATTTATATTAAGTCTTAATTTTAGACCTCTCCCTCAATGAGATTCTGGCTACGATAATTTATAGTATGACATAGTAGTTCGATCCGTAAGGTAAGGTTTGCCAAATGCAGGGGAATAGGAAAAGATTGTCAAAAATTTAGATGGTTTGCACAGAACTAGCGAAATCGATAGAACAGTATTTCGTTCGTCATGCTGATTATTTATTTACCTATAACATGACTATATGATGTTTTGGGCGCTACAGAACTAAGACCAAACGGAACATAATTTTTGCAAGAGTTCAATAACTGCCCGATCAGCTATCCGAAAATATGAGTATTAATTTGAGTCCACGTCACTTTTTATTGAAGGTTATATGCTGTTATTAAATACAAAAACAAAAAATACAGCGAAAATTGCTTTATAGTTTCAACATACAAATAATTGTTGATTTGGCAGTTACTTAAAAAGTGAAAAAAAAAGGGTGTGACCCTTGCTCGGTTTACGTCAATTATTAACCTGCCGTTTCTGCTTACATTTCGGAAGAGACCAGCTATATGAAGTCGTCTATAATCTGCTCCAAACATTAGAGACCATCACATTTTCCATGATAAAGAAAATTTGAAAGAATTTAAGAAAGTCTTGCGATAGAAAATACATACATATTAAAAAACTGCTGAGTTGATAATGATAGTTGACTTGAAATTGAAAAATTTTAGAATGTAAAAATCACTGTACTTGTTGATTTTTTTTAAATATTGTAATGGATTTATGATTGAAATCGAAGTCGGTTTCGATTATCGACTTTGTCTCTTGGGACGATTGTCTCAATTTATTTATTGGAGATTTATTTTGCTGATCAGTGAGAAGCAAGTGCTGTATATAAGTGATCAAATTTCAATCTGACATATGTAGTTTTGTAGAACATATGGATGGTAAAAATGTTTCTTTTATTTATTCAACTGGTATATGGAAATATTTTAAGGTGATTCCAAATTATTTAAAAACTGAAACCCAAGCAATCATTTCACAAAACTATTCACACCACTACGGCCCACATATGATTATTTACTTACATACACATCTACATACATACATATGTATGTGATGGCTACTGATCGTTTCATATGGTATGCAAATGAGTTCCTCCTACCTATATGGATTTTTTGAGAATTAATTAATTTGGTATGCATGGGGCGTATGCATAATGTTTTGTAGTTCCTTTGTTTTCCAATAACTGGGCCTGCCTCAAGAATTTTTTAATATTTTTGTAAACATTTAATGCCCTCTCTTTATTTCTTCCTCTCACGCACACTTATTTATTCACACAAGTATGTACTTATGTATGTGTGCCAGTATACATGTATTTATGGCCATGTCTGTGAATCTTTATTGTTGTTGTATTTTGCAACGTGCTGCACATTGAGTTCGCCCCTTAGTCGGCTTTTTTAAGCTTGTTGCGCTCTCTCGCTTGCGCTCGCGCTGCGCTCTCGCTCTCTCTCGCCCTCTCTCCTGCCCACTCCACTGGACATGCACACAAACACACATGTTGACAAATGTACATACATATGTTAGGAATATGCAGCTAACAAGTCGCGTTATGAAAAATGTTTATGTAAGTTCCACTTTTGTTGTTTTCCTTGTTTTTTATTTTTTTATTTACGATCTGAAAATTGTAAAAAGCACTCATGGTCTGATAATAAAGGCGGTTCACTCTCTAGCCAGTTGTTGTTTTGGTTGTTGTTTTACACATTACGAAAAACGTGACATTTGCTCTTCAACGCTCACAGACACACTTGATACTTGATCTAGTCACAGGTTGTTGCATGAATATACATGTGTATGTATATTCAAATATGTATGTGTAAGTATGTATGTATTATATACACATTTATGTAGATGTATAAATTAAATAATTAAGAAATTAAGCATATTGTGTATATATTATAATTACTTCACTTCTTGTCTGCACGCTACACTTAATGGGCACTTGAAAAAAATTTAATAAATATTTGTATTTAATTGAATGTTTGTTCAAGCAATATTTGTATGCCCGCCTTGCCGTTCGTTCTACGAGTAATACACTTTGTTGCGTTCTGAAGATAGAGAGATTCAGTCTCACATTAATTTTGGAAATTCACTTGAGTTCGCTTTATCTCGACCTACTTGTTGAAAATTCGCACGAATACTGAAAAGCGAAAAGCGCATTGCGACGCGACAGCGTGCCAAGCTCGGCACACATACACTGACACACATGCGCTCAGAAAACAATCACACACATACACAATTTATATATATATAAATACGAAACGTGCATTTTGTTCTTGGGACGCAGCTGGCGTTGCCGTTGTCGATGTGGCTTCAATTCTATTCATACTTATAGGTATTGGTACCGTATTGTGTATCGTGCTCTTTTGGCATAGTTTTTTTTCATCGGTGACGACTCGCCAGCGGTAGCTTTAACCCCTGAATGGGTGCATGTAAATCAGCTAAGGGCTATGCAAACAATGGCGATTAATTTGCGAGACTATCTTCAGAAGGCCGCCTCAGATCAGTGCCGAAAATTAGTGAGCACGATCCGAGGGACGGATCGAAAAAAGTGTATTAGAACGTCCCCTTTCAATCTTCAAGATCCTGGCGCTTTTTAACTATTCCTTTGAATGAACAAATTTGAACTTTTGTAATAAAGACGTTTTTGTTGTTCCAATACTAGTTCGTAAATTTGTAAGCTGGCATTAAATCCCCTGCTATATCGCGTTTTTTAGACTATTGATTTGAATTTTGATTAAAAAAAAAAAAAAACGTTTGTTCAGGACAAATAATAAATTTTATAATAAGTAGAACGTTATCGAAGAGAAGACATTTCAAATTTTCCATAAACTATACCGTATTCCATATGAAATGGAATTTCGCAAAGTATACCTTGGATCGAATAGGAGAGCCGCTGCTTGAAATGGAATTTTATTGATTAGTACCCGTAGGGGTCTCAGGAAGTATAGAGCTACAATAATTTACTTTGGTATCCAGGTTCTTCTATAAGTCGGTTTGAGAATCAAAGAATTCGCGAATTGTTTGCATTCCCACTCCAAATTGCCAAAACAAAATCATTGATGTCAATGCGATTTTTTTTTAGTATTTCACTTTCACTTTCTTTCTTTCAACAATTTAAGCAATTGAGTTGTTTATGTTTTAAAATTATATAAACAAATTATATAAATTATATAAATTATAGCCCCTGTTTGATAATATGCTAATGTTTAAATATAGCGAGAAAAAGGTGCTTGTTCGGAATGGATTTGGATCTGAAAATCCAAAATCTCATTTTGGATTTGAAGAGAGTTTCCACTTTCATTTATACGGGTCTTTTGAAAACCCAAGGAACCCAAGTGGGTAAGACGTGCTGCGTAATCTCATGCAATGCATAACGCGCGACTTGCTCAAGAACTTAGAGCTACCGGCACCGGGTGGGTGTGTAATGGGCGTACAATATATGGGTGTGTGTGCGTGGCACGGGGGTTGGCTGGCGGCACGTTGATTTTTTGCACTACTAAATTCTCCCCCATTCGTTGAATGGTTGCCATCAGTTGCTCTCTCGGATTCCCGGCCTCTCGAGTCACGCATCCCAGCCACGTGAGTCGTCGCTGAGTGAAGCTACTTGCCACTGTTCGATGTTGTCTCGTTTTTGCTGCATTGGTTGGTTGCCTGGTGGCTTGTTTGGCTGACTGCCCCTCAATGGTTTTCTCATTTCACAATGGGCCCTAGTCACCGGCGCGAACACACACCTTCACACAGTCACATACTTGTACACACACACGCACACACACACACATACACACGCACACAAGCAGACACCATTGGACAGATACGACTGCATCTGAGTAGCTTGCGTATCTTAGAAGGAAGGGCAGCGTTTTAGGCGCTGCATCTATTCCTTTGTTTACCTTTGTGCGGTTGCCTGCACATTAAAAGTTTTTTGTGTAATAACAAACTACATGCGAGTACACTGTGTTTGCTGTCTTGTGCAACTTTTAGCTGGATACAGTTTTCCCTGGAGAGTTGCTCAACGACCCTGAATTTGTTTTATTTTAATTCGTTCAAAAGAAAAACGTGACTGTTTTTCGCATTATGAACGGATTATTTTTGCCGAGGGCGTATTGCGATAATATTTGAGTTGTGTGCGATACCTGCATAATGACTGAAATCTTAGTCTTATAGCCTCTAGCTGTACAGTCAGTGTGTTGGAATAAGCTAAACTAAACTATAAATCAGTTCTTGAAAATGTAGAGATACGTATGTACATATGTATATTCGATATAAATATGTTGTCTTACTTACCAAGCCCTTTCGACTGTCTAACTGTATTAATTATATCTTCTATAGGGTTTTATATCAATATCAGTGTTTCCAAAGTTTCATGTGGTCTAATGATATGTATTTGTAACCTCTATAGGTAAAACGAATGAAATGAATTCAATGTTGTTAATATTCGGTGATGGAGAGTGCCAAAAACTTTTCTCTTGCTAGTCGGATGCCTTGCGTTCACACAGACGGATATGACTGTTCCAACACGTTTTGGGAGTCTGCCACGCCTTCTTCTGTCTGTTACATACATTTGTACTTAGCGAGTATACTCTATTACCCATTGAGTACAGAATAAATAGTAATCAACGTGTCAGTGATTCTTCACCTAAAGCTTTTATTAATATTTTATCTTTTATTATTTAAGTATTTTAATTTTAATTTGTTTACTTTTATCTTTTATTGCTATTTTTTCATCTCCACTACTTTTTTGTTAGTTTTAATAACGTAACTGACTACTCTCTGCTGTGAATCGGGGCATAGCTGCCCGTTTGGCAAATAAAATTCCCTCACCGTGTAGGATTCGTTATTAGATATTTTTGTCAATTTTAAAGGTCTTTTAATTCCTTTAGTTTTAATTAGTTTCAGTTCTCCATTGTATTTTTTTCTTTTTTCTTTTACACTGCATTTTACGACTTCATTGTTTGTGGATGAAATAAATGAATAAATAAATAAATAAAAGTTTGCCTATGCATCCATCTGTATGTTCATATACAAACATTTAATGCTACTGTGTCAAATTTGTGGTGTATGAATGTAAGTAATAATTGATGAAATTTTATTATTATTTATTATATACATATCATATTATATACATATTATATTTATCTACACACTATTTATCTACATATTATTTATATAAATAATTTTTAACTACATATTATTTATCTTCATATTATTTATCTACATAATTTTTATCTACATATTATATTTATCTATACAATTTTTATCTACATATTATTTATCAACATATTTATCTACATATTATTTATTATTTTGTTTTATATGAAAATAAGCCGAGGGTTTTTCCTAAATTTTTCCCTCTTGGGGTACCACAATAAAATTCCTTAATTTCTACTGGAGGCAAAACTGTAACTATATGTATCATCTGTATATTTCCTCATCTGACTGCTAGTTTAATAGTATTAAGTTTCTTAACTTGTCAAGAGGTTATTATAATTAATCAGAAATACAGAATTTATTTTTATTTATTTATTATACATATCTCTTAAATTGTACTCATTCAACTCAATTTGAATTTAGATACATATTTCTGTCGTAATGATGATAAACGAAGTCAAAACGTGCCTTCAATAGAGATTTTATGGCAAAGGGCTCTTCATCAATTGCCTAAAGTTAAATTTATTCGGCTTCTTTCGCAGAAGTAAAATGTTATATCAGCACGTACCTTTCAGATTGAGCATTATGTGTACACCTCCTGCGCCCAATCGAATCGTCTTAGAAGTTGAGTAGCCACACAGCCAAAACCCGCGGCGAGTTGGCGAAGCGCGGTGCCACGGTGTTGAATAACTTTCAGCAGCAAAAAAAGAATCACTTGACGACAAATAAAAATGAAAGTAAAAACAGAAGCGAATGGCTTGTATTTATACCCTGTACCTCCTAGCTCCCGCAATTCTTGGAATCTTCAAATTTAGCGCTTATCTCCGGTTAGTACTGATGTGTCTGCATATGAAGCTTTGTCGTGATAGATCAATTTTAAAGGAAAATATAGCCCTAAATGTAATATCTGCCCTCAGCTATTGTCGTTGTTGCTGCATTGACTCAATTTTACACACACACATCGATACAAGCGCACACACAGACCAACGCATCGACACATACATATGTAGGGCCAAATATAATATTTTAATTTAGAAAGTTAAATTTAAAAAATGTTTATATTAATTTTTTTATTTTTGGAATTGGGTTCAGGGTATTTAAGAGTTGGGCATGCCCGCATTCCAGCAATCCATTCTTGTTTGGTTTTTATTTGGTGATACATTTTGTGTGGCACCGATTACGTAAATTGTACTGCAGTTGGATATTCAAATAACTAGTCTCTCTGACAGCGACGACCCATCAATGCCGGCAATACCGAAACCTTCCGCTTGTCATTGGATAACGTCAGGCATATATTTTCAGCACGACGAGACGAATGGATGTAAACATGTCCGACTGTCTGTCCATCTGTATGAACACTGGGAACTTTTGAGCTATTACGCAGACCAAGATTATATAAATAACATCGAAACGATCTGTAGAAGAAGTACACGCAGTTAAGTAATATGATTTGCTTATTATAACTACGTTCTCGTAATCAAACTTAGTATTAATGAGTTTCTATACCCTGTAGTCGAAAGGAAAACAAGAAACAAATGCTAGAGTCGAGCAGGATCAACTCTTAAATACCCTGTACTACCCCACAAAAAAAATGTATTAAAAAAATTTAATTAATTAAATTAATTACTTTAATTAAATATTAAATTATCAATACATGCATACATACGTTTACATTTACATCAGAATCGTGTCTATGCGTGTTTGTGTACTTGTACATATGTATGTGTGCATTACATAATGATGTCAAAGCAGCAACGAATATACGTTATGTCTATAACTTTCTTCAATTCTTCTGAATTCGGATACGAACACACTAACTGGATGTGACTACCAAATTTGAATTCGAAACTTCAAGAACTGGGTGAGTTAGAGAAAATCGCGAATAGAGGGGGAGTGGGGGGGGGGGGGGGG